ACTGCATGGCGATCTCAGTTATCTTTGTGGATTCCACAGCATTCCATGCATGAATGCGCAATGCTATAACTCCACTCATTGTTTTTATCAACTCGTAATTGCAGAATGCTGATTTGATCTAATATCACGAAATTGACCTGGAATTCCCATGGTACTGAAAAAATTTTGGCACAATAATGAGTCACTCAGGATTTCGATGTCTTACATTAGTTAGAAATTTTTCCAAGAAAAGGGATGGGCGTAAAATAGTCCCAATAGCAAACTTCGGTACAGGATTAGGCCAGTGTTCACTTTAAAAACTCGATCTTCCTGTTCTTGATTTAGGCTGGGTACCTTGAACTAAGGCTTAGACTTAGGTTGATATTCAGGGCTCCAATGTGTAAATCGTCGGATGTTTTTTCCTTCATTCGTTCATAATTGGAAGAAAAACCCTCTTCATTTCCGAATGTTTCCTTTTCTCTCGTCTTCCACCTTTGAGTAGAGGACGCCTGCTGTGTTTCCCGTTGGTCACGCCTGTGCATGCTTTCCTGTTTCAAATTTTCCATGACATGCTTCAAGAGTCTTATTTCTTATCTGTCGTCAGAGGGTTGGATATGAAGCAGTCGTATTCGGGCGATTACGAGTTATTCCTGAATGGAACAATGCGAATCGATGACCCGGACGAGATACGACACTTCGAGTGTGCCATCGATCATTCGGTATTACCACAAAGGTTCGTCTGTTTCGTTTTTCACCGTCTACTCTTCACACTCACAAAACCGTTCCTTCATTGGCGAAAGGTTATTGCCTGAGATTCCGATGACAGAATTTATAATGTTTAAAACAACAAACTAATTTAGAAATGATTCGAAAAACACTAGTCACCGAATTATGAAAATTGACAGTAACGAATCATTTCATTTATCTGAAGGAATCCTAAATAGTGAGACTTTGAACTATAGGAAACGTCGGCAGCTGCATACCTCATCGTTTGAACCACAGTTCACGCTAAGACCACAGAATCGAGCCTACCGAGAGGGAGATGTAGTTCGAGTCGACTGTGAGGTAAACCATTCAAATCACTGATGCATTCATTCCGTTGAACTCTCAAAATGAATGCTGCAAATAAAAATTTTTCGAGAAAAATTCGGGAAGAATGTGCGATGAGTTAACCGAATCACTTTGAAATTCTAATGCGCTACACAAAATCTGAGTTGTATTGTTACTTTCAGGTTATTGGAAAGCCTCGGCCGAAAATTAAGTGGTACTTCAATAAGGTCGAGTTGAGACCTTCATCAAAGCACGAAATGAATTTCGAACGAACCAATCTTATTATTCGTGCGTTTACGGATCGAGACGTTGGAGAGTTTGTAATTTCATTCATTGAATGTTCCCGCAAATGTTTATTCATCTTTTAATAGCAAAGGTGATATAAGGAATGGGTAAAGAAACAAAAATCCTTTTGAGTATAGCAAACAGATATCTTGCTCATGTGAAGGAAAATGTCACCCAATGATAGGGAGATTTACTGCTTAAAAGACGAGTTTCTTTGAAACAGCGAGGTAAAGTTTGCAAAATCAAGAAGGTATGGAGATCATGTGAATGGACAAACTATAATTGACCAACAAAGTTTCATGGCTGATGAATTAACATTCAGGATTATTGGTCTGTTTTTGCCGAAATTTCGATCTTCTGCGAATGCCTGCATTTTCGAGTGATACATTTCAGATACAGCTGTGTTGCTGAGAATGTTGTTGGACGTATTGAAGCGTCAGCATCAATTGAGCTCATCGCAAGCTCACCACCAGTCATTGCTGAAGGACCTGAGTCGCAGACTGTCGACGAAGGTGCTACAGTTCATTTCAAGTGTAAGGCAAAAGCTCAGCCAAGGCCTGCAATAACGTGGTTCTTTGAAGGAAGCGAAATCTCTATGCTGAGAGGACACTTCCACGTATGTTGATTGCGTAACTTCATCCCTGAAACTACATTCAAAATGCCACAAACTGTATTTCATGCAGTCAACATTCCGTAGCTATTCTATTGCTTTTCGTACAGTTTTTTAAAATTTTCACACAATACGAACCGATAATAAGGTTGTATGATTATTTCTACGATCAGTGGTGTTATGATCATTTTGATTCAGTGCGCTGAAGAATGAATTGATCCTTGCACTGCAGGTATCAGATGATGAAAGTGAACTGACAGTATCACGGGTGACGAAACAAGACGATGGTACGTATTCGTGTATGGCTGGTAATGCTGTTGGTTCGATGTTGGCCGATGCTCGCTTAACAGTGATACCAAATCCACAAATATCTCGTCCCACTCATCATCAACAGTTATCTCGTCCTAGTCCTCCTCAACAGTCATTCCGTCCTACTCATCATCATCCACAGTCATCTCGCCCTACTCATCCTCAACAGTCATCTCATCCTACTCATCATCAACATCGGCAGCATCAGCAGTATCAATCTCCGCCTAATCCACCTCCTCCATCTTATCGGCAATCCATAACTAACTCTATCACTGACGACATCATACGAGATGCTG